TTTTTTTATTTTAACATTTGCAAATTTAAAAAATGGAATACTGGAAGCGGAGAGATGGCTCAATGGTTAAGAGCACTGGCTGCTCTTGCAGAAGACCCGGGTTTGAATCCCAGCACTCATATGGTAGCTAACCACCATCCTAACTCCAGTTCCAAGGGATTTGATACCCTCTTCTGACCTCCTGTGTGTATTAAATCATATGGGCCCACTTACATACATGCAGCAAAACAGGCATACACATAAAATAAAAATAATAAAATATATATATTTTAAAAATGGAACCCTGGGCTGGAGAGATGGCTCAGCAGTTAAGAGCACTGACTGCTCTTGCAGAGGACCCAGATTTGATTCCCAGCACCCACATGGTGGCTACTAACCATCCTTAACTCCAGTTCCAGGGAAATCCGATGCCCTCTTCTGACCTCCATGGCATTGTACAACATGGGTGCACTCACATACATGCAGGCAATACACTCATACAAATAAAATAAAAAATAATAGGGGCTGGAGAGATGGCTCAGCAGTTAGGAGCACTGACTGTGCAGAGGACCCAGGTTCGATTCCCAGCACCCACATGGCAGCTACAAGCTGTCCTTAACTCCAGTTCCAGGGGAATTCCATGCCCTCTTCTGTCCTCCACGGCATTGCACGACACAGGTGCACTCACATACATGCAGGCAATACACTCATACACATAAAATAAAAATAATAAATAAAATACTTAAAAATAATAATAAAATATTTTTGAAAAAAATGGAACCCCAAACAAACAAAACACAAGAAAATTGTAAAAAACATTTTAGTTCAAAAGTATGAATTTGTTTTAGAAGTAAAGATTGCCTTCATTTTCCCCCTTTAACTATTTCTAGTGTAAAGCCTGAAATGAGAACTGAGGGTGGTCATACATATCTGTAGTCCTAGCACTTCAGAGGCTGAGGCAGGAGGGTCACAAGTTTGAGGCCAGTCTAGTGCGTATAAATTCAGGCCAGCTTGGGATACACAGCAGGACATGATCTCAAAAAAACCCCAAAAGCACAGAAATAAAAATGAAAATGCCCAAAATGATTTGCTTGCTCACCTTTCCATCATTTAACTGAACTTGCTGGTGCCAAAGAGATGATTCAGTGGTTAAGAGCACTGGCTGCTCTAACAGAGGACTGGGGTTCGGTTCCCAGCACCCACATGGCTGCTAACAACTGTCTATAACTCCAGTTCTAGGGGATCTAATGTCTTCTTCTGGCTTCATAGGCATTGCATACATGGGTGCACTTACATACATGCAGGCAACACATTATAAGCATAAAATAAAATTGATTAATTAAAATGAATTTACTGAGCTGCTCTCTGGAAACTGGATTGTTCTAGATCACAATCTCTCAAACTTTCTATTCTCAAATCTTCCTTGAACTATTGCAAAGCTATATATGATATATTCTGTTGAATAATTCTATATTGAATTTGATTTTCAAAAATTTTAAAAATATCAACTAATTTAAAATTGTAATCATAAATTTTTGATATGTTATAAAAAATAAAATATTTCATAAAACAACTGTATTTTCCAAAGTCAAACAACTTAGTCAAGAGTGGCATTATTTCACATTTTTACAAATCTCTGTGGTGTCTGGATTAGTTGAAAATAGATGGCCTCTCATATCTGCTTTTATATTCAAAATACTATAATATCACACATCATGTAATCTCTGGAAAATGCCTCTACATACTTGTAAGTGAGTGAAAATGGTAAAAAGACAAAAACACCTTAGTATCTTCATGAAAATAGCTTTGACTTTATAGAAAATAGAACATCTTTTGAGAACCACTGTTCTGGGTATTTGTGAATTAAGTAACAAGCTTGTAAGTTTATTCAAACAGAACACAGGAGATAAAATAATAACATGTCCAAACAAAGAATAAGAAAATGGATTCTAGGGGGCTGGAGAGATTGCTCAGTGGTTAAGAGCACTGGCTACTCTTGCAGAAGACTTGGGTTCAAATCCCAGCACACACATGATAGCTAACAACTATCCATAACTCCAGTTCCAGGGGATCCAATGCCCTCTTCTGACCTCCTTGGGCATTGCACAACCTGCATACATTTACACACATACAGGCAATACACTCATAAAATAAAAATAATAAAAATTTTTTAAAAAAGAAAATGGATTCTAGGCAGGTTTGGTGGTGCATACCTTTAATCCCAGAATTCAGGAGGCAGAGGCAGGTGAATCTCTATGAGATCCAGGCCAGCCTTGTCTACATAGTGAGTTCCAGGTCAGCTGGGGTTGCAGAGAGACCCTGTCTCAAAAAGACAAAAAAAATTTTTTAATTAAATATAAAAATAGAAAGTTTTAGGTAGTTTCAGTAGTTAGCTAATATATTAAACCATATACACTTGTTCATATGGAATTTTAAAAGGGTCAGATGTTGGGATGACAAGATAGCTTAGAGCTGGTCAACAAGCCTGATGGCCTGAATTTGATCCCTGGTTAACTCACATGGTAGAAGGTGTCTTCTGACCTTCACATGCATGCACTGCTGTCAGGCATCCCCCCCTCCCATCACACACACAAAATAAATAAATACATGTAATGAAAAGTAGTCAAATGTTGTTAACTTCTAAATACTTAAAATAGCTGCATTGCAGGCCAGGCACATGGGAGGCAGAGGCAGGAGGATCTCTGTAAGTTCAAAGCCAGTCTGGTGTACATGGTGAGTTCCAGGTCAGCCAGGGCTATAAAGTGAGACCTTGGAGAGAGAGACAGAGAGAGAGAGAGAGAGAGAGAGAGAGAGAGAGAGTGAGTTGAAAGCTACATTGGGCCAGGAAGATGGCTCAGCAGGTAGTGGTGCATGTTGCTAACACTGACAACATGGTAGGAGAGAACCAACTCACAACCTGACCTCCACATGTGCACCATGGCACACTCACAGACAAATAAATGTGAAAAATAGCTACTTTTTTTTTTGTCTTTTTGAGACAGGGTCTCCTTGTAGTCCCAGCTGTCCTGGAACTCACTGTGTAGACCAGGCTGGCCTTGAACTCACAAAGATCCACCTGCCTCTGCCTTCCAAGTGCTGGGATTAAAGGTGTGTGCCACCACGCCTGGCCATTGTTTTGTTTTAAACAGACTCTTACTATGTAGCCTTAGACTGGTCACAAGTTTATAATCCTCCTGCCTCAGCCTCCCTGGTGTGAGGATTACAGGTATGTGCTGCCTAGCTCTGCTTATTGCTTCTTAAAATACTCAGTTTTGGGGCTGGAGAGATGACTCAACAGTTAAGAGCACTGGCTTCTCTTGTAGAGGACCCAGGTTCAGTTCCCAGCACCAAATGTCAACAACCGTCTGTAACTCCAGTTCCAAGGAATTCAGTGGTCACTTCTGACTCTACGGGCATTGCACAACACGGGTGCACTTACACATATGCAGGAAATACACTCATACAGATAAAATAAAAAATAAAATATTAAAAAAAATCTGCATTCATGTCATACCAGTGATGCCACTATCAGAATGAGTAGGCCACAGTGTAGCAGTAAGGTTGCTTTAGTGGATTATCCAGATGATGATGATGAGGAGGAGGAGGATGAGTCCAGTTTGGTAAGGTTAACATAATGAATAGGCCACACTGTAGCAGTAAAGTTGCATTAGTGGACTATCCAGATGATGATGATGATATTGATGATGATGGAGGTGGTGATCATAATGACAAAGATGAAGATGAGGACAAGAAACCTCCCAATAAAAGACCTAATCTTAGTTCATAAAATTGCTATGAGAGTCCCCCAAATTCTGGCTCATCTAAAGTTCTATCAGTATCATAAACTGAAAAATCTAATTCAAAAAGCATTTACTTACCAATTCCTTGGTAAGATGGAAGTAGCAAATATATTAAATAAGGGGCATTATTTCTAGAAAAAGAAAATCTGTCATTCTATATATACATAATATAAAATCCTCAATTTCTGAATGATCCGAGTGATAAGTTCTTTTTTTTTCTTGGTCTTTTTGAGACAGGGTCTCCCTGTAGCCCCAGCTGTCCTGGAACTCACTATGTAGACCAGGCTGGCCTTGAACTCACAGAGATCTGCCTGCCTCTGCCTCCCAAGTGCTGGGATTAAAGGCGTGCACCACGCCCAGCCCGAGTGATAAATTTTTAATAACATCTTAATATTCCAGGATGGTTTGGCAGGAGGGAGCAGTTTGGTACAGCACTACACATTTCACTCAGGACTATGTATTAGAAATAATTACAACAGTGTTGCTGCAAAGCCAATATTACTTTCATAAAGCATCTAACCATGGCATGTTTTCCTAGAGTTGGGTTTTCTGAATGAAACTGTAGTGAAAACAAAATCAATACTGAAAACGAAAAAAAAAAGACTATTTCAACATTTCTGCAAAGATTTAACCAAACTTCAGCCTTATGAATAATTACAGGGCAGCAGCTTTCAATATGCATTTTGATGAATAAAAAATGACGAGCTGTCTACAAAGAAAAAAAATCTTGTTTTGAATTTCTAAATCATATTTTTAGGGAAAAAATGACAGAGCTCTAGTTTCTGTGCAATACATAGAAAGAAAGACATTACTATACTCACTAGAAGTTGGTCTACATGTGAGCAGCAAGATGTAGAAAACCCAGCCTAGTGTTAGATGGAAACTTAGACATTTACTCCAGTTGTAGTACTTTTCAGATGTGAAAGCAGAGTTCTAAGGGCAAATGACTGATGGGGCAGTGCTTAGATTTCAAGTTTCCTGGGTGCCAATCTCTTTGGCTGACTATGGTTTAATGTATTTTTTATGATACTCCTTGTTATGAGTTGTCCTTTCTTTTTTCTTCTCTATTTAAAATTGAAGGTAGTACTGTAGCGTTTGGATTGGAGCCTCTGGGGGATTTAGGACTGGAAAAGAATATTGATTGGCAGATGTTAGCTGTTCATTTCTAGTTGATTTGTCATGTCAGGATATTGAGATTTGGTTTTTTATTTTTACTCTCAGATGACCTGATACAGATAATAACAGCGTGCCCCCAAGCTGAGTTAATTAAAAGTCTTACTCAAGAAAGGGATGGAAAACCACCAATTTTATCTTTTGGCCTTGCTATACTTCATCTTTTTTCTGCGGATTTGAAAAAAGTTGGCATTAAGCTGCTTCAGGAAATAAGTAAAGGTGGAAAAGGTAAGTAGAATCAGGTGTTGCTGTGAAAGAAATAGTGGTGGGTTATTTCAGGAGCAATTCAAGATAATTATGTATGAGTGAACCCAGAGTCTACAGAGTTAACTTTAGGAATTTATAAATGTAAAGATTACCATGTTAATAAATCTGCTGGCAATGGGATATATTTCTTGAAAGAATTAGAATAGTGAATCTTTATTAAGCCCAAAGGGAATGTCATAATAATTTAAAGAGGCAACACTGTTCTAAAAGCTTTACATATATTAATGTATACATGTTTAGCAATCATTTTATATGTACTTTAAATGTTAATTAGCTATAAAATTTAAAGTTTAATTTCCAGACCCATTGCATGTATATTTATATGTGATATGTACTCTGAATATATCTCTACAGGGAGGTCAGGGAGCTAATTAAATTTCACATTTTTCTCCCTTTTCATTAATTTAATATAGAAGCTTAAGCAGAAAATTTAAAAAATTATTGTCTGGGGTCAAAGAAAGAATGTTACCTGAAAACTTATTGAAGAAGATAATTTCATATTTAAAAAAATTATCATTACAGATATTAATTAAAATATTTGATAGGAAAATAAAATTGTGTTCAAAATAAAATAGTAGTTATGTTAGTAATCATAAGAGAAATAGCTATAATGAAGGGTTTTTTAAATTAGTTTGTTTTTACTTATTTTTATGTGTATGAGTATATTGCCTGCATGTATGTAAATGCACCTGTGTTGTACAATGCCCTTGAGGACAGAAGAGGCAGTTGGATCCCCTGGAACTGGAGTCACGGACAGTTAGCTGCCATAGCCCCTGGGACCTCGAGATCACAAAGATCCACCTGCCTCTGCCTTTCAGGTGTTGGAACTAAAGGCGTGCATTACCACACCAGGGTATAATGAAATTTTATATGGAGGTTATAAGTGAGGAATTAGTTCCATAACTTGATAACTACTGGGGTTGGGGAGATAACTCAGTCAGTAAAGTGCTTGCCTTGGAAGCATAAAGACCTGAGTTCAATTCCCAGAACCCAAGTAAAAGAATCAGGTGTGGTGGCACAACTTGTGATCTCACCACTGGGGAATCAGACAGGCAGATAGATCCCTGGGGTTTGCTAGTCTCTAAGCCTAGCCTACTTGGCAAACTCCAGGCCAATGAGAGATATTGTTTCAAAAATACAAGGTGCAGCAATATACTCCAAAGGCCAAAATGTCAAAATTATTTGGGAGCTTTTATCTAATCCTTAAAAGATTTTAGGGTCACCTCTTCAGAGGGGGGAATGTTAGAGGAGCAAAAAGCCCCTTAAAGGAAGAAGAAGAAGAAGGTGGAGGAGGAGGAGGAGGAGGAGTACATGAGGTCATCAGAAAAAAGTGATGGGGAGATATGGGAGGTGTTGGAGGGGAGGGAGTGGGCATGGATTTGATCAAAACACCTCATATGCATGCATGAAATTCTCATTTATTTAAAAAAAATACAAGGTGGATGGTTCTTGAGGAAGGACATCTGAGAGTGACCTGTGGCTTCCACACACATGCACACACATGTGCACACACAAAATAATTAATTAAAAATTGGTAATACCAAAGATAGTCACTATAAATTTTCTTTCTCTCTTTCTCTCCTTTTCCTTTTCCTTCCTTTCTTCCTTCTTCCCTCCCTCCCTCCCTCTCTTCCTTCCTTCCTTCCTTCCTTCCTTCTTTCTTTTTTGGTCTTTTTGAGACAGGGTCTACCTGTACTCCAACTCACAGAGATCCACCTGCCTCTGCCTCCCAAGTGCTGGATGTGCCACCATGCTCAGGAAGTTTTAAAGTAAATGATATCACCCGATTTCTTTAAAAAGCAAAATTATTTGATTTCCTTTAAGAAAATATTGGTAATAGACACCACATCATTAAGAAGTCTCCCTATTTAGGGGCTGGGGAGATGGCCCAGAGCACTAGCTGCTCTTGCAGAGGATTTGAGTTCAATTCCAAGCACTCACATGGAGGCTAACAACTGTCTGTAACTCCAGTTCCAGGGGATCTGACCCCATCTTCTGACCTCCAGGGCATTGCACCACACAGGTGTGCTTACATGCATGCAGGCAATACACTCATACACATAAATTTCTTAAAAAAGAAGTTTCCATTTAGAGAAAGCATGTAGGGTTTGCCAAGGAGTTTCTTAAGCCCCTGAAACAACACTACTAAAGCGTTTATAGAAATACTTAAAGGCTCATGAAAACTCCAGCAATAGGTCCTCAGTTTCTCAACAGTTTCTAGTAGTGCCTAACAGACTCTGTGAATAAGGGGGGGGTGCACTTTCTGAGCTCCTTGGCTCAATACCTGCTACTATGCATAAAGGAGCTGAGTGGAGGAATGTGGAAGGTGAAAATGGTAGAGGGTTGAGTTGAGACATTTAAAGGGTAATGAAGGAAGAAGAGAAGGAATTAACACTTAAGAATTAAAGAGCTGACTATGCAGTCTACATGTTATAGTGTTAAACTTATTGGACAAAGGTAAAGTTCAAGAATAACTGAGTTGAAATGATTTCACTTTATTTTTGGAGAATATCAAATAAGAATAAATACCATAGTGTAATATTGTGGGTTTTTTTCCAGATGCAGTAGAACAACTCGTGATAAATGATTTATTTTGCTCTCCAGAAAAGTGGCAAGAAATGGCAAATGTCTGTTTAGAGAATGGGTTTGAAAAGTTATATAATGACATCCTAGCCATTCTTCGATCTCAGGCTGGAGTTTCAGAAATTTCTGAAGATGATTCAGTCAACTTAATGGAGCATGTTTTTTGGTAGCTCTATTCTTTAACCAGCTGAGGGCGCTGGTACAACATTTTATGTATGTTGGCTGGGTAACCTGGTTTTAGCATGAGTAACATAAATAATTGTAACATATAAAGTATTCAGAAATAAACTGTACTTCTTCATTATGATGATGTCCAAGTTTGGTCTTGAAACATCTACCATATGATCATTTATATCAAACCTTGATAAAATCCAAGAATTATATAACTTTGTTTTAAACAGCATAGGCATAGGCATTGCTACCTAAGGACAAAGTAATGTCCAGATAGACTCCTTTGTTATCATCTAATTTTATAGGCAGAACTGAAAACAGTGTGGGGAATAGTCTGCCTGTAGACTGATTTCCTAAATATCAAATATTGCAAGCTTCCTTTGATAAGAAAAGTGAGATATTATTTCCAGGCTTGTCTTGCTAGAAAAAATCTAGAGCAGAGTAATTTTGTTCTGTTGATTTAAAGATGACCCCATGTTTTGATCAATCAATCAATCTCTGTGTCTTTACGTGTATATATATATATGTATATAAATGTATGTATGTATATATTTTCTCATCTTTGCCATTTATGTATGGCAAAGGTCAGACTCCTACTAAAGTTTAGAATCTTACCATGTTCTTACTTAAAAGGAAGACCAGACGAAATCGCATAGAAGTAGGCATGGGATACTTTTAGGCATAGAAAATGTGTCATTTTGTGCTGGGCACTCAGGAAGCTGAAGCAGGAGGACCATGAGTTTGAGGCCAGCCTGGACTATATAGTGCGAGTCTATCTCAAAATAAACAACCAACCAACCAACACCCAAAAAGACCAGACTGCTGGAGAGATGTTTCAACAGTTAAGCATGAGGGCTGCTCTTGCAGAGGACCCAGATTTGTTCCCAGCACCCACATGGTGGCTAACAGCCATCTGTAACTCTAGTTCCAAGAGATGTGATGCCCTCTTCTGGCCTTTGTGGGCATTATGTGACATGGGTGCACTTACATACATATAAGCAACCCCTTATACACATAAAATAAAAATAAATTAAAAAATTTAAGAAGACAACAAAAAGTTATTTTGAATGATTCTAAGCACCTGAACAAATATTTAAAAATTCAGAGTTCTATACTATAGATAGATGTGACATTCAAGGTATTTAATAACCAGTAATGGCATGGACAACAGTCTAGCAGAATAGAGATTCTGCTAATCAGACCAGCTTCCAATCCTTGTGCCACATCCACTGAACTACATCTCCAACCCTTATTTTTTTTGAGATGGAGTCCTACTATGAAGACTCAAACTGGCTTTAAATTTGGTGTACATCTAAGGTTGGCCTTAAACTTCAATCCTCTTGCCTCTGCCTCCTGAATTATAAGTGTGTGAAACCACGTCTTACAGAGTTGGTTCCTTCCAAAGACTCTAAGGGAAGGCTTTGTTCTGGACTTCTCTCCTTGACTTAACCAATGACCATCTTCTCAGTGTCTCTGCATCATCTTCCTTTTATGTGTATCTGTGTCCAAATTTCTCCTCCTCATAAGTACACCAGTCACCTGGGCACCATGGCTTAGGTTTGTAATCCAGGCACTCCAAAGGCCGAGGCAGTTGAAGCCAGCCTGGGCTACTGTGAGTTGCAGGCCAGTCTGGACTACATAGTGAGATTCTGTCTCATTAAATAAATATAGAAATATAGAAACACAAAAATAGTATATCAGTCGCATTGAATTAGGGTCTACCCACTTTAAATTGACTCTGTCTCCAAAAAAGGTCACATTCTGTTAGGACTTCATGTAAATTTGAGAACATAATTTATTATATTTATCATTTATGTCACCAAATGTATCATTATATCACTAAATTTATCATAAATTTATCATTATATCACCAAAATAAAACACAGTACTGGGCACAAAATAAATGTTCAACGAACAGTTGCTGAATGAATCAATACTAGGCAAACCTAGAATCTTTACATTTAATGCCAATACTGTGAATTAACTTTACTCTTGCTTACATTACAAAATTATGTTACATATTTTGAAATTTTTCACAAAGTGAACATATATGCCTAGCCATCCCCCAGATGAGGAAATAGAACCTCCCTGGAAGATTCTGGCCTCTATTGTCCTTCCAAAAGTAGTCACTCTCCTGACTTTTCATACCATGAATGTCTTTTTGCCTCATTTTTAATTTTATGAAGGTGAAAAGCATTCATTCTTTTGTGTCTAGCTGCTTGTGCTTTCTACTTTTTGTGAGATCCCATATTGTGTGTGGTTGTAGCTGTTTGTTCTCATTGTTATTCCATTGTGTAAGTTTACTACAATGCTATCATAAATGGACATGTAAGTTTTTTCAAACAGTGAAGGTCTGATACAAAGTGTTTCCATGCACACTCTTGTACATGTCTTGTGTGTGAAGTATGTGTGCATTTCTATTGCTTCTCTTTGTTATAGTTTTTTTTTTTTTTGAGGCAGGGTCTCCCTGTAATTCTACCTGGCCTGGAACTCACTATGCAGACCAGGCTGGCCTTGAACCCACAAAAATCCACCTGCCTCTGCCTCCCGAGCGCTGGGATTAAAGGTGTATGTCACCATGCCTGGCATAATTTTTTTTTAATTTGTTTTTATTTTATGTCTAAGAGCATTTTACCTGCATGCATGTAAGTGCACCTATGTGGTACAGTGCTTGAGGAAGCCAAAAGAGGGCATCAGATCCCCTGGAACTGGAGTAAAGGACAGTTGTTAGCTGCTGTGTGGGTACTGGGAACCAAACCCAGGTCCTCTGGAAGAGCAGTTAGGACCTTTAACCACTGAGCCATTTTTCCAGCCCCTGCTTTGTTCTTTTAAAAAATATTTATTTATTTTTATTTTATGTATATGAGTGTCTTGCCTGTGTGTATGTAATGTACCACTTGTGTGCCTGGTGCTTACAGAGTCCAGAAGAGCACATGGGATCCTCCAGAACTGGAGTTACTGACAGTTGTGTGTTGCCATGTGGGTACTGGGAACTGAATCTGGGTCCCCCAGAAGAGCTTCAAGTGGTCTTAACCATTTAGCTATCTCTCCAGCTTCTGCTTTACTTTCTAAAAATTGTTTTGGATAGTAAGGTCTCATAACTAGGTAAAATTCTCAGGATCAGTACTACATTGTTCAGTTTATCATGTTATTGTCTCCTGAGTTATTGTAAAATATCTATAATAGAAATTCTGTATTGGGCTAGAAACAGCCAGAATGAATGGCATATATTTTTCTTCCCAAACCCATATTTCTTTTTATTTTTATATGAAATATGCTTCTTTGCTTCCCAGGTAAAGGCAAAACCAAACATTAAGTGCTTGGCTGGGTTCCAGACACTACGATAACCATTATAATACATATTCTTTGGGGGGGGATTTATTTATTTTTATTTTATGTGTATGTAAGCACCCAGGCATGCAGTGTCTGTGGAGGCCAGAAGAGGGTGTCAGATTGCCCGGAACTGGACTTACAGTTATTACCCACCATGTGACTGATGGGAACCAAACCTAGGTCCCCAGGAAGAACAGCCAGTGCTCTTAACTGCTGAGTCATCTCTCCAGTCCCCTTAATATATATTCATAACTCTTCATAGTAATTTTATACAGTAGATATTATCTCTGTTTTTATTAGTGAAGAAATGGGAGATCAAAAGGTAAATAGCTACCAGGAGACCCTGTCTCAAAAAGACCAAGAGGGGTGGGAACACAGAAGTTGTTGGGCTGGAGAAATGGCAGAGCACTGGCTACTCTTGTAGAGGACCTGTATTTGACTCCTTGAACCCACCTAGTGGCTAAAAACTGTCTGTAACTCCAGTTCCAGAGGAATTCAACACCCTCTTCTGACCTCCACAGGCATTGCATGACAGGGTGCACTTACATACTTGCAGGCAATACACTTATACACATAAAATGAAATAATAAAAAATATTATAAGGCAAATACTACATAAGAAGGGTCGCAATGAACTAAAGTTCTCAGACCTCCTTATGTTTTTTTGGTCTTTTTGAGACAGGGTTTCCTTGTAGCTCCAACTGGCCTGGAACTCACTTTGTAGCCCTGGCTGAGAGCTAGTGTGTGTGCATGCAAGTACCTGGAGGTCAGAGGACAGTGTGTTCTGTCCTTCCACCTTTATTATATAGATTCCAGGGATTGAACTCAAGTCATCAGGTAAGCACCTTTACCTACTGAGACATTTCACCAGCCCCTAGTTGCTTTTTGTCTGAATTATTATAGTTAAGCATTTATCAAATGTTTCCATTTTATTACTCACTGAGAAAAGTTTAGAAATTTTCTGAAACAAACTAAAGAAAGAAACATTCTTTTTAAAAAATCTTTTTGAATTTATGTGTGTGAGTCTTGCCTGCATGTATGTAAGTGGACCATATGCATACAAGACCTGAGGAGGCCACAAGAAGATGTTGGATGCTCTGGAACTGGAGTTACAGATGTTTGTTAGCCACCATGTGCGTGCTAGGAACTGAGCTTAGGGTTCCCTGAAAGAGCAGTCAGTGCTCTTAAACACAGAGCCATCTCTCCAGCCCAAGAAAGACATTTTCTTTTTTAAAAAAAATTCTATTATTTTTATTTTTATGTGTATTTGTATATTGCCTGCATGTAGGTAAGTGCATCCATGTTGTGCAATGCCCACAGAGGTCAGAAGAGACCGTCGGATCCCCTGGAACTGGAGTTACGGACAGTTATTAGCTACCATGTGGGTGCTGGGATTCAAACCTGGGTCTTCTGCAAGAACAGTGTTCTTAACCGTGGAGCCTTCTCTCCAGCCCCATGAAAGAAATTTTCTTAACAAAAGGACACTTTCAAGTATCTAGAGAGGTCTGACGTTAGTGTACATTAAACATGTCACATGCTGGCATAGGGAATCAAGATTTATTCAAAGGGAAATTTTAGGTAAGGTTCAGCAAATTAAGCAGGATTATGGACTTGGTACTCTTCTCTCAAAAGCTGGAAATGTGGATTTCCTGACTTTCAGAATGCTTTGTGGGCCAAAATATTGGTCAGAGTCATTTGTGGGAGCAAGTTCAACCGGCTCTCCTCTATCTCCTTACCCCCATGAAAATCCATCTGTTATGTTATGATGCAACAAGGCCT